TGACCGTCGAGACCTAAAACCTGGAAAACAACCAGGAAGCCACCAACACTAGTTTACAAATATATCATGCAAATTGACCCATGCATACGTATGTGAATGAATCATGAAAAGCCACTTTTCAAGCCTCTCTTTCAAAGCTTTGATATTTTTGGGTAAACTACAACTTCACCGTTTGATTTTCTTTTGAATTCGTGATCAAATATATAGATGATTATATATGATCAACATAAGATTATTTAACTACAGTTCGCTGGATATTTGTTTCTTATCAAAATGTGTAGTTTAAATTTACAATCTCACGAGAATCGTTGGGCATAAAACAATAACATTGCTATTTTTTCAGGGGTGCACCGAGGTGTAGTCGCTGCATAAGTTAGAATTAATGAAGAAAATGTGAATCCTGCCGTTCATTGCAGAGGAGGAAAAACTGAGTATGTGAACAAGCCGGCAAATTCAACCATTTCCCCCGCTTGAATCTGGTTCAATCCATAAACACGCGCAATCCCATCTCCAATGGAGACAAGTCAATATAAACGGCACACGGTGGGAGAGGATAATATATAACAAAATATTATAAGCCCAGAAATGTCAGAGAAAATCGTAAATTAGTAACTGAATTTATATGTGGCGAAACGGATTAACAAGACAACAAAATTGTTTGCAATAGTTGCAAGATATTTTATAGCTTGTCAAATTTTCTAATAAATTATAGTCCTCTAGAAGATAAATCCTACTTCCCTCGATATGATATGAATAACGTGGTGCTATTCACATATCTTTCTTTACTTTTTACAGATATTTTTAATTTTTGATCCTTAAATCGAATAAACTGAAGAAAATTGAATGATATAAATTAATAAATGATGTGAGGATAGCACCACCCAATAAATATCGATTCATTGGACCTATCTAACAAATGGAATTATTCAGTAACCAGTAATAAGAAGGTTATTAATCTCCATATATAAAAGCAGTTCCAACAAACTAGGGCGTTATTAACTTTGCTAGAGCAATATGCTCTCCTCTCTGCACTCAGGTTAAAATCACTACTCCCATAGTTTAGAGTAGACAATTCCAAAATAAAAAGAGACAAAGAATGAAGATTCAAAGCCAATGTATTTGGTGCAAAGAAATAAATCATAAGACTCTAATTGTATTCTATAATATATGAGAATTAACTTTTGGGTTAAAAAAAAAGGAAGGGAAAAGACGCTAACTATCCAAATCCAGTGCATTTGATTATATAATATTTGCTCTTTTTAATAAAGAATACAAGAAACAAAAATGGCGACGGTTCTCTAACACAGACAAGATGCAAGATTACATTAAGATTATATGACAATAAGTTGTCGATGTTGATCTAGGTTGATGGTAACCTAACTAAATAGCTAAGATACTATATATAACCGATGTAGACATTACTCTCTCTAAGTACTTGGCTACTTTACTTTAGGGGATTTTTTTTTTTTTTTTTTTTGAGGCATATGCATGATTATTGTTTTGTTATATATCATAATTCGTTGTATTATAATTTTTTTTTTCTTCAAATTAATTGATTTGAAGTTTGAAGCACGATGCTTATTTCACAACTACAATTAGGGCCGGTTTCGGGGTTAAATGAAGCGAATAAGTTTTGGGAATTGAAAATCTATACTGAAACCACAACAATTGAGATTATAGATTGCTATGGTGTAGATCGATGGCTCTAGATCGACAACGATGGCTCCGATGGCAATGGACGTTGACTCCACGACGTAGTCGATGGCTATGCTAGACCGAAGGCAATCTCAACCAATCCAACATCTACAATAATTTGCAATTTATCAATTATATATTTAAAATTAAAATTATACATATATGTTACTTCGGTTTTACAACTCTGTGATCCTGATCGCCCTACATAAGTTTCGGAAATGTTTTAATTTCAGTTACCTAATGACTCGATATTTTCAGTTTTTTATTTTTTTTATTTTCTGGTCGAGTGTAATATGGTTTGGTTCGGTTCGGGTCAAGCTCGGTTATTTCGATTTTTTTAGGCCTTTACAATGGGACAGAGCAATGATCCACATGGTGATTAAATCACCCAGAAACTTAAAAGTGTTTATCTCCTTTGCTTTTATTGACCATAACTATATGAAAAAAAGTTTGTCCGAAAAATAACTTGAAAACCTTGTTGGTTAAGGCAGTTTGAAAAGCCTACGTTGTAAGCTGGGAATTGAGTAACAATACAATGTTTTTAAAGTTAATACGTATTAATTTCGGGTAATTTAGTAATGAGAATGTGATATCCATACATTTATTTTTACTTTTCACACATTTTTTTAATTTTCAGTCATCGAATCAGATGAATTGAAAAGATCAAATAATAGAAATTAATAAAGAGTATGTGAAAAGTAAAAATTGATGTGTGGCACACCCCTAGTAATATTCTTGCAAGGGTGGACACATTAGTGACAAAGGGGTCAGCTTCTGTGAATCTTTATGAACAACTTGAGTGTTGCCCTTTAGAAGGTTAGAGATGTCCCTCATGCATGCCTTCAAAGCGCTTGATAAAATACCTCAAAGAAAGTTGCGCTTCTTATTATGAATGATGGAACATTGGTTTAATTTTTAGCTATTATATTTGTAAGAAATGTTTGTGAACTTTTACATGTGACTCTAAAGAATTTTTCCTAGACCCGCCGCTATATTCTTGTCGCTTGTAAGTTGAATGTTTCATATTCCACCTACTTAGATAACGAGTTTATATTTTATACCTCGACTAGTAACTATTTGTGATTTTTGTTTTTTGGTCCAAGTAACTATTTGTGATGAACACCGAAAGTTTACACAAAAGGCCAGAATTCCTGGAGAAAACGTGCAAGAGGAGGCGTGAAAGAATTATCTTCCTTGACAACATACATATGGAAAAGTAGTTTGACTTGGAGACAACTCTTTAATCTTTTCGGCTCCTTTTTTATCCTGCCAATAGTAAAGCAGCTTTAGGGGAAGAGATACCAATTAGCCAGATAGGTAAGCATCCCAATGCATATTTTGTGACATGCATGCATGGAAGGAATATATTCTTAAATTTAGGAGTAAATTGTAGTAATGGTCCATTAACTTTAATCAAATTGGAGCAATGATCTTTCAACTAAAAATCCATTACCATTGGTCCCTCAACTTATCAAAATGTGTAGCTATAGTCATTTTCATCAATTTCATCAAAATTTTGTCAAAATAAGTTATGTTGGAATAACCATTTATGTAATTAGGGTCCCTCAACTCATCAAAGTGTGTAATTATGGTCATTTTCGTCGACTACGTCAATTTTTTTGTCAAGACGAGTTATGTTGGAAGAACCATTGCTACAATTGAATTAAAGTTAAGTGACAATTTCTCTAGTTGAATTAAAGTTGAGGGACCAATGGTAATGAATTTTTAGTTGAGGGACCATAGCTGCACGTTTTGATGAGTTGAGAGACCAATGGTAATGAAGTTTTAGTTGAGGGACCATTGCTCCAATTGAGTTAAAGTTAAGGGACCATAGCAACAATTTACTCTAAATTTAGATAAGTACAACTCATTTCTTTCTTCCTTAACAATACTTATCAACTCATCAAAAAGTTACAAAACAAAACTACAAAGAAAAATATATGCTTATCGAAGATGTCATATCTCTAAGCTCGGTAGGGAATCAAGGAAAAATTTCTTATAAATATCAAGATGAAGCTCGCACACTACTTTGGTTTATATACTATTTCGTTGGTCAAAGATTTTGCACCCGTTATAGACTTATAGTCATACTCGAGGGGAAAATGAAATTAACTTCAAATTCCACGTGTAGTAATAGTAGTGACTCAATTGAAAACATTAGTTGTTGTGTGGATTCGTCAATGCCTACACATATAGAAGAGAAATGTTAAGAGGACTCTAAAAAATGGGAATCTTTATAACTCTCTGTCACTTCATAGTTTAACATCAGTTCTTATGTCAACATTATAAAATATTGTGCCAAGAACATAAGATGACTGAAAGTTAAAAAAAATCAGATGACTAAAAGTTATAAAAAGTCTCATTTTTTTAGAGAATCCTCTTAGCATTTAGCCTGCATGGAAGATTGCAACATTTCAAGTACCATATAGGTCATTCATGTACTATTTATGAGAACCAGACTAAATCTTTATCTCACTTTTGCATATTTTCCGTTCACAATTTTGATGATGTTAATTAAGTTCTTTGAACTCCAAAACCCTAAACCCTAAAAAAAATCCATCTACCACCCAACCCAACTATGGGCCAAAACCCTAAGCCCTAAGCCCTAAAAAAGTCTCATCCTACCCAACACAACAATGGGCCGACTCTGGACATTGGATAATAACCTTGGAAGCCCCAGTGGATGATTGGGTCCATTAGTAGCAGGCTGTTTTATCATGTTTGGGCTTTTTAGCCCACTTATATGTTGACCCACCACAGTGTCACAAATGAACGGTCCTGATCAAACTGTCCGTCTTGCTGTGCCCTAAGTCCTCCCCCCCCTCACTATATATAATCACACTCTCAGTCAAAACCCTAGCTCAGTACCTTCTCTTCTCACATCTTCCACAGCCTCCATCTCTGCCCCTCCCCACCTGCCCTTTTAAATTTGAGATTCACACTACAATCCCAGGTTTAATTTGGTCTTGAATTTCTGTGTGTTCATAAGATTTCTGATATTCTTTTGTTCTGTCTTTTCATCCGTTTTTTTTTTTTTATGCTAGTAGTATTCAGAAGGTATGCCCATGCCTATGATGGCGTTAAATATACTTTGAGAGTAAATTCTATGAAACAAATTTACATCTGAGGCATGAGGATTTGCACTTCTTTACCAATTTTACTTGATTTTTTACTGAAATTACTAATCTTTATTTGTTTGTGGTTGAAATCTTTGATCTTTATGCTTAATTCTCAGCTTATGTTTCATGGGTGACAAGAAAGTTTGGTTTTTTAGGTAATTAGAGTAAAAATTGTGGGTGTTTGGAGTTGCAAATGATGATAAAACAGACAGGGACATCTGCACTCCATTGGAGATTGATGACTAGTCTAAATGGGAATCTCTCTGATGCATTTGACATTTTATTTACTGCCATTGATTTGTGTTCTTGCATGATTCATGATTGTTTACTTCTGATCCGCTGGAGAAATTTTTATGGGTACCGAGAACACGAGTCACGTGGTGTCTATATCTTTATGTGATTGCATTTGAGGTTTTGTATGATTGAATGTAGGGAGGTTTAACGAAACAACGAAACACTCGATACTTTTCATTTTTAACGAAAAAAATCACATTTATACCTTTTCTCACTATTCATTTACATCTTTATTTGTTATTTTTCATTAAAACTAAAGTTTTTGAGGATTTTTTCTTTGAGTGTATTGCACGTGACGATAAAACAGACAGGGACATCAGAACTCCTTTCGGAGGATGGTGAATTGTCGATGGGAATCTCTCTGATGCACTTAATTAGTATTGTTGTTAGAATTTTATGTTTTGCCAATGATGCATTTCAAATGCACGTATTATCAGATATAGATATGATGATATATGCTAATATTGTCACTACCTCTGAGGCAACATCTGTTACTGCTTTCTTTGCTTGAATTCTGTCGTTCGTAAGTGTTTCTTTGCATAACGGTATTCTGTTCTTCTCCCTTTTACGAGGAAGATGAATTGAACATTGTGTTACAAAGTCTGAATGGCATTATCTTTAGCGTATGAATTTGTTTTTGAATGCCTGGTGATTGAACAAAAGAACGGAGATTTGAAGTATTGCTTTTGTGGAAGCTCGACACTGTCGGGCTCCAAAAGCAACTTATGAAAAAATCGTTCACGCTGGATAGTATATGAAGGCTTTCTCATAATTTTACATCTTGTTTGCCATTTGTCTGTCAATTGTCTGTTTGCTGTTTGAGAACTTGTTTGAATGTGCTTTTAAAATGATTGAAAGTGTTTTTGGTGAAAATATTTTTTGAACCAATCTTTAGTAAAGATGCAAGTAAATCCTAGAAAAGTGCTTCTTGGAAGTGCTTTTGGAACCTAAAAACATTTTCTTTAAAAACACTTTTAGTTATTTTAAAAGCACGTTCAAACGAACTCTAATTTTTTGTGATTTCGTAGGGGTTTATAGGCATATAACTTTTAGTTAAGCTTAATTAATCACAAGCTTTTGTCGTTCCTCTTCCCAAATTAGTCTTAATTCGATCTTCCATTGGGAAGTAAGGTGATAAAAGTTTTCAATTAGTTGAACTTAATTAAAAGTTGGGATTAGGTGATGGTTGTTACAATTAAAAAGGGTGAATATTCAAGAATGATTCAGAGTGCTGTTATGTCTGTCTACTTAATTCTGTTTTCTCGTGGCGGGGAAAATAGGACAAGTGGGTGGGTATAGCAGCATTCTTGTTTTATGATTTAAGTTGATTTAAGTTTTAGTTATAAGGTTGGAGCGGAAATAAGAGAGGTCGGGTGGACGTAACAGCATTTAATTAAACAAATTTTCATTTCATCATGAACATTGGTAAGTTTATGAGCTACTTTGACAGGAGGAGAATGTTCCAGGGAAAATTCATTCTTAATTTTTTTAGGGCATCTTCTACCATAGGCATAATTCAAGCTCTTTAAATGAAGTCATGAAATAAGGTAATTTTAGAAAAGTGATTTTCGCACATTTTTTTTAGTTTCATTCAAACGTTTATTTATTTATTGTCTTTTTTGTTTGTTTTGTTCAATCAGATGTTCAAAAATAAAAATGGTGTTTGAGAAGCTAAAAAGAGTGTGTGAATATCATTTTTTTAATTTTATAGTATTCCAATTATATCTTAAATATTTACCCTTTTGTAATATATTTATGTATATTTTTGTTAAAATGGTATACTTTTGTTATAGAGCTCCTAACGTGGAAATATTGAACCACTAGTAGAATATGGGGGTAAGCAAAAACGCTCTCTGTATTACGTGAGAAATTTTTAGAATTAGAATGTTGTGATTTATCTTGATTTAATATCATTTAGAATTTGAAATTGACAACTCGAGCAACTAACTGAACAAAACCGTATGCGTTGGTTTTGTGAAGTACTTTTGAATTTTGGGGACCAGTTTGCGGTTTTGATTGTAAATTTAAGTTGTGAAGTAGATGTTTATTATTTAGTATCACGGTTTAGTAGTATTCATCTTCATTTGTAAAAGTGAATTTTAACCACATTATTATTATTCTGTTGTGATGTTTTTCATTCGGGAATAGATGCTTGTTAGCCGCAAACCATACCAAACCAAATCAAACCGCGACATTGCTTAACCGGTTACATCGGTTTTAAGCCATTGTGGTTTGGAAGTTAAGCAAGATTGAAGCAAGCTGCTTGGTTTTTGTTTTGACCCAAAACTTAACAACCGAATCGCGTCGTGCCCACCTTTAAACTGTCTAACGGTTACTCCAGGATTTGACGGTTTAAAGGTGGGCACGGCGCCGTGCCCACCTTTAAGGATTTAAGGGTTTAAAGGTGGGTTCGGTTGGTAAATTTGACGGTTTAGATGCCCTTTTCCAATTAAAGGGTAAGAAGTTAAAAACTGATGATGATTGGATGTTGATGGTAGTTATTAGAGTGTATAATTACACAACAACAAAACATTTGGAGGGTCATTCATTTGCTGGTAAATTATTGTGGGGGGAGATTTTGTTGTTGGGGAATATTTCAATTTTTATGTATAATAATGTGTGGGGAAATAGTATATTAGAGGTTATTTTAGGAATAACTCGGTTTGGCTCGAATCTGACGAATCCCCTCTAACATCGTTCGTCGGAGGTTAGGTTGTTGGTTTCGCAGAGTCGCCTGAAATTGGGCTTGCTGATTTGTCAACATCCTCACTCGATTTCTGAACTTCTTCTTCTCTGGTTTTTAGGGTTCCTTCGACTTGGCGTATCAGACTTTTGAGCTTCTTCTTCTATCATCGTAATTCTACAAGCCGCATGCTCTCTCTCCCTCTCTGCTCGTTCTGTCCCCCTCCCCTCTCTCTCCCTGAGTAAAACCTGAGATGCAATGGCTGAAAATTGCGTCTTAAGCCTGAGTGGCATTTTTGTAAATAAAGCGAAAGTTGGCTAAAAGCGTCCAAGTAGCAGTCTTGTAAATAAACTGAAATGTGGTTCAAAACACTGTTCATTGGTAAAGGGCAATTGAAAAGCCTTCTTTAGACTAAAGTAATCGTCAGTATAAAAATAATATTTAAATTTTTTAACATTTTATGGTAGGTGAGATTATAATGTGGGTAGAAAAATAAGACAATGATGTGGATCTAACATCTCTCTACAAAATTATCAATTTGTACCATATCTAATAGGAATGTGCTATCCACACATCTCTTTTTACTTTTCATACACCCCTTGTTAATTTCTGTCTGTTGATATTCTTCAATTCATCAGATCCGATGGTCAAAAACAAAAAATATGTGAGAGAAGTAAAAAGGGGTATGGATATCACATCCCTATCCAATAACTTATCCAAATATTTTAGAAAATAAAAATAAATATTTTATCCAGTAACATGGAAGCGGAAAATAGAAACTGCAGGTTATTCTGGATTCCATGAATTCTGCATGATGATTTTCCAAATATAATCCTCCCCGGGACCCATGCTGAGTAGGATTCTGGGCCCATCCACGTCAGTTCCACGTTAGGTGACCAATCAGAAGTCGTTTGCCTCCTATTTGCTTATTTAATTTTTTTGTTGAAAAACATTTTCCAGAATTTTCTAGAATGTGTAGGGCACATGATCTTATCCAAATTGGTGGTTGCATAGTACAAATCACACTCTGTAATTTAATTTATGTTCATCGTCTGAATCCAAAAGAGTACTAATTTTAATATTTTCTTCTTTCTTTTGTGCTAGATTCTTGTGTTTCCACAAAAATGTCATATTTCATGTGGTCATGTAGTTTTGTTTGTTAAAATGTGATATAATTCTTTGTGGGGATCGTTTCAAGTTGGCGGAACTATTCATGACTTAACTCATTACCAAATTCTCGCTCGTTATTGTGACTAACCTTGAGGATTTGTAATAGAGATTTTTTGAACTAATTGCAATCAAATTAGAGCATCTCCAATAAAATTATGGAAATTTAAGAGGTAATAATCACAATTACATCTCACTTTACATTTCCGAGATATGTAAATATGAAATCTATTTTAAAACTCATCGACTATTGAGTTTCATCTACTTTGACAGTGTTCATATAAGAAAAGACTTAATTTATTTGGTTCATATGAGATATTTTGATGTCATGGACGCCATAGTAGAGTTGTTTTAAAGTCTGTCACGTTTTAGTTTCATCGCTTGATTGACTTAAAACACCAAGATCATAATATTCTGAGTGCATATAAGTTGTTTTCGGTTTCTATTTAGTATGACCTAACTTATTCTACACCCCACGTTTGCCTCACCACATGCCACCAAATAAATAGGCCATTAAAAAAGGTGCTTGATGTTTTCATGTGAAACGGTTATTAAGCTCAGACAATTTTTAGGGAGTTGGATGTTGAAAACAATACAAACTTTGGCTCTCCAACAACCACATTGATTCAACCACTACGAGCTGGCTCAATGGTTGGAGACGAATTATAGGTTCGTATTTTACACAGTATGTTCTGGGTTTAATTCCTGATGATAGTGAATTACACGATGATTGCTATAAAAAGACTAAAATACCTTTGTAAGTCTTCTCAGCTCCAGAAATGATGGATTGCTGGCGACGCCACCAATTGATTTCCTTTTCTTAAAATTAAAAATAAAAATAAAAGCTACCACATGGATTCCAAAAGGACAGATAATAAGCCAAATCCATGATGCAAAGCCAACAAAATTTAGCTAGTTGCCTACACCATAACTTCACTTTCTTTGTCAATATTCAAGGGGCCACAAATAAAAAAAAAATCCACATAATGTTATACCAACTGCCTAATTGATGCCCCATAAAATTTCTTTTTCATTTTTTGAATGAGTCATGGCCTACTTAATTGAAAGGAAAAAAAAATGATAACACCCTCGAACTTGTGACTTTCTTCCGAGTTCAATTTACCCTCTTAATGTTCAATTTGGTTATGAGTCTCCATCAATCTTAAAATACATAGCAATTGGCCTCCAACCGTCGAGTTTTTAACATTTGTATAAGTTTTGCAACGGGTGCTAAAAAAATACAGGGAATTGTTAAAAATACCCTTGGCTGGAGCATGTGGTCAAATCTCCTAGTGGATAAGATGTTGTGTTTCTACTGCGTTCTGAGTCTGAACATCCCTTTCCTCTTAATTATTGTCATAATTTCGAACCCTCTATCTTTCCTTAATAATAATTTAGAAAAGAAAAAAAAAAACCCTAGCCGGAATTATTGACCATGTAGGTTTGGGGCCTGCAAGAAGATCATTTGCCTCCTATTTGCTTATTTAATTTTTTTGGTTAAAACATTTTCCAGAATTTTCC